CACGGGAAATAAAAGATTATTAATAAATATATTTACACGAGCTACGAAGTACAATAAAGAGAACAATAATGACGGCAGGCCTACAGACATATTGAAAAAAAGCTAAAAACTGGACATTCCTTATCATGATGTCTCGAAAACCAACAAGGTATGAGCATTTTCCAGAATTAGGATGGCTCGGGGCCATCAGACTGAGTTTTTACCCCAGTTACTTCATGCCCGTTCTTCGTACCTCCGTTCCTATCTGCGCAGTACGAGCAGTGAAGGCTGAGATAAGACGACATTGCACCGAGCGGTCCGCGTTGATTTAGTTGTACCACTAGTTTGATTAACACGATGACTAGAGATGATAGTCGAGACGGAAAGGAAAAAAGAAAGGGAACCCTGAATGCCAGAGAGGGGCGGACGGGATGACCATTTCGACCTCGAGAGAAAAGGGGACAACTTTATGACACTATGGAAGACATCCCAGGGATGTTCGATTTTCGTCTGTCCTCACTCTACCTCTTCTGGAACACTAGAATCACACCAAGGGAGGCAGAGCGGTGTTTGTGACGCCAGAGTGCTAAGCATTCAATATGTAAAAAGACTACGAGAGAAATCTTTCCGTCTTAAGATCCGTTACGGAATTGGAGTGATTGTACCCATACATATTCAAATATTACACTTGTACCTAGGATCGGTGTACGTAAAGAAAGCACGGGTCCGTTTGAATCAATATTGGGCGAATTGCCCCTTAATGAAAGCTTAGTGCTAACTTTCTAGTCGATGTCCTGTTTTGACATCCGTGTTAGTTGACGGTTGCCCGAATCAAGATTGAACTCAATCACAGTGAGTAATTTATGGAATTACCCCCTTCCAAACCCATTTCCTTGACACGTACAAGGACAGTAAACCGGACCTAGGAATTAATGGGAATGACTTTGTCCTCAAGCACCGACCCAAAGAAGGCATTTCCTGAAACCTAGATGACCAATGAGGAGGGTGGTCAGTTCAGGAAACGCCTCCTCTGGGTCCTAGAGAAGAGCAGGAGTTTTCGTTCTGGAAGCCAGTTCCGAGCCGATCGGGGACTCGGCCCTACCTCTTCATCGTGGTTTTCCCTTATGAGGAGGGTGGTCAGTTCAGGAAACGCCTCCTCTGGGTCCTAGAGAAGAGCAGGAGTTTTCGTTCTGGAAGCCAGTTCCGAGCCGATCGGGGACTCGGCCCTACCTCTTCATCGTGGTTTTCCCTTCCTCAAAATCATTCTTATCTTTTTCATCTCCCCAACTAAACATTTGAAGTGTTCCCTTGGTCCTCCCATAGTCTTACCTAAAGTCCGATTCAGTGACGAGTGTCTGAGGGCAGGATACGTGAGTTTCTTTCGAGCCTCAGTTGTGTTTCCGAGTTAAGTGCTAAGGACATTGATTGGGTAAGGGATTAAGCCTGGGGTAAATCTTCATCTAAATCCGTAAAAGCACAAAATCATATTAATCTTTCTGTATCAGAGACGGACCGGGTCTTTTTCTGTTCATTAAGGTTCCTGTTGCATTTTGTTCCTTTTGTTTCGAAACTGTCCTCCAAGGGTCAATAATTACATTTCATTTTGTGTTCTCCTTTTGTGCAGTGCAATTGATTAAATTCTAATAATAAATCATCAGACTCGGTGCGGTGATAATCAATTCTCGAACCTGAACAGGCCCGAATCTCGCCCACCTAGATCGCGAAGTTTTGTCCAGCGCGGGCGCGTTGAGAGAGTGAAACGAAAGCGTTTAAAGAAAGTTGAGTTGCTTCAATTAAACTGAAATCCAGAGTAAACCAGTCGTTTTTCTTTGCATCTATCCTGATTGATACAATCCGACTCATTGCGTCCCGTGCACGTGACACTTCACCTTCCACCATCACCAAGTGGAACTTGCCATCGTTGTACAAAGATGATCTTGCTTGAAGCATTCCTCGCGTTCAAATATCAAAATAAATCAGTCTTCCCCTCGTCCCAACAAGAGGAATGAATTCATTTTCGCCGAGTGTACTAATCGGTGTGAAAGGGTTTCTCCCGTACGCGTTTTCACATCGGTGAAAAAGAATCAAGTGAAACGTCTGGATTTCAGTGAGGGAGGCGATGAGAATTTCCAGGAAAGAGCTCTTACCCCAGATAACGGATGTCGATGAGGGTGGGTTCATATTTGCAGAGAAGACGCTGAATGCAGCAGGAAGAATCGCGTCCCCACGTTTTCAAGAACTCGGCGTCTCAGCATAGATAAATCCACCAGTGTACGATATAGAGCGCCACAGACGAGGATTCACGGCTGCCTCCTTCGCTTCTCCCCTCACCATGCCAGTCTGGGTCGGACTCGTCCTCCTCCTTCCAGGTCGGCGAGTTCCACGCATGCAGACGCTGAGTTCTTATGATTATGCTTGTTTTAACTCGTTGGCGTCGACGTTATTCAGTTTTCTTGGGGTCAGTGACACATTATCAGTGACATTATTATCACTGTCATTAATACTTCATACAAATAACTCAGACGATTCATATCAATGTTTTCACTGCCACTCTCATACAGCACATTCGCAACAGTATCTTGTTTCAATTCCCGAGTAAGTCGTCGCTTTCTAGTCGCTATTATTCGCAAAAGCAGTAAACATGGATGAAATTGATTTTTAATTATTAATTATTAATTAATTTAAAATGATTATCTGCTCTCCAAGCCCGGGCGGATAATTTTTTTATGCATATCAGATGGCCACGGAGCCATGTATTACTAGCACCATCTAGAAGCAAGCATCAATACTACGTGCACAATTCAGTAGTACAGCTACTGGACTATATCGTATGTCGATAGCAATGGGTTATTGATTGTCATATTTGTGCAGGGATCCTCGGATTCACATGCCGAGATGGAGAGAAGTCGAGGATAGAGAACTACTGCGACGCGTACTGGGAATGCCGGGACGGGAGACCCCACATTCGACGATGCGACCCAGGACTCCAATTCCATCAGCGACTCAAGCAGTGTTCCCATCTGAAGGGTCCATCTCAATGCGTTCCCTATGAATGCCTCGGTGAGCGAAATTTAGCAGAGTACTGCTAAAGCTACTTATTAAATACTAAATAGTGGAAAATTGCCAGAATTAACCGACGGAACTCTGACATCATCGAAACAACAACTAAAAGAAAAGGACATATGAAATACAAATTCTGAATTGTAATAAGGACTATGTCTAGCAACCTCTTAAAATATATATTTCAGGTAAAATCAGGAACTTCTTGAGTACGGGCTAAACTATTCCCGAAGTTGTCTGTTTTTCGAATATTACAATTAGAAGTCTCGTCTTCTTCAGAAAACTGACACTGGATTTGCATTTAACACTAAGGAGTTAGATGCAAACCCTTACTGCCATTGCGCCATTATTCTCCGTTAAACTGCGAGGCCATTTATAGACGACGTCTTCGAAGCTCTTTAGCTAACCCGTTCGATTCTTTCCTCGACGTCATTTGGTTTAGACGCTCCTCCGACGGACTGACGCCGATCATGCACTCGAACGATTTGGGGATTTTGCTTTTGGAAGACGTTTCTCTGCATCGCTTCAGAGCGAACCATTCAACAAGGGCGCAAAAGGAAAGTGGGTCGAGAGAAAAAGGGGGCAAACTGGCGTTATCAGCGAAATCATCCACTTTCCTCATTCCTCGAGTGTTTTTTCTTGTATATCTTCAACCTTGTACCTTAACTCGATTCTTCTAAACACCTAAATGAGCCCCTGTTCTAAATATATATCATACGGTAATTCTGGGTATTTCTTTGACGTGCTTAATAGGACCTCCTATTACAATTGTGATAGGCCAGTTTTTTCTCTGAAGATTCATCCTACTATTTCAATGGCAACATTGAAATTGCCGCACCAATCTGATTCTAAGGCTCAATGCATTGAGGCTTCGAATCAGAATGAAAACGTTTTGAATCGTTCAGTTTCGAACTAGATTCTATTGAAACTCCAAGTTCTATCACCAATAAATTTTCTCGTCACTGGAAAAAGTATGAAAAAAGAAGTGATATGATATGATACATTGATATGATAATTTCGCCTGTTTCTATGCTCTAGCTTTTTTGCCCACTCAATACAGCGTAACAATATTGTAACTCATTCCTTTGCATATCGTCGCCACGTTTTCCTCTTAAATTGCCGTTTCAATCTGGAACTAAGTTTTACTTTTCGTTTTCTGGTAATCCGATGGTGTTTTGGGGTTTCATAGCTACGGTGTCTACGACGACAACGACAACGACAACGGCGGATCCGGCATGTGACGCACCGTCTTGCTCAGGTGCACCCGACGGCATCACTCCTCATCCCTGTTGCTGCAACTACTATTACAACTGCCCCTTTCCGGATCCCCTGGTGAGAACTATCGTATCGGCTGAAGCCCTGACAACACAATACAAAGACGCGATCCCGTTCACACTTTGACATCCAATGCCAGGGTCTCAGTTTCATGAGCGGTAAGAGATTATTAGAGGAGGTCTAAGCTGTTGAAAGCCACGGCACTGCCCTACTGCTAAGAATGAGAGGAGGAAAAGAAGAGCAGGATTATGTATCTCAATTTTCCTTCATGCAAAATATTCCGCCTCCCTGGCCGTACGAGACGAGGAAACATGTGCAGAGGCACATGCATATAGCATCCTATAGCCTCGAAGCGACCACTTTAAGAAACAGGAATCGGTGCAGTGCAATGTCTTAGCTTCTGCGTTTGTGAGACCCTAAGACTCAGAAAAACAAAATTATGAATAAATCAGTAAGTTTGAGGGGTGTGGGTGGGAGCAATAAAAAAGAAAGATGAAGGCAGAGGAAAAGAGAAAGTTTTACTGGCTCTTTTTAAGATGCATAGAGTGAATTTGGATGAGAAAAATAAGCATTCAAGTGGAGGTCGATAAAAATGTTATCAATTTGANACCATCTAGAAGCAAGCATCAATACTACGTGCACAATTCAGTAGTACAGCTACTGGACTATATCGTATGTCGATAGCAATGGGTTATTGATTGTCATATTTGTGCAGGGATCCTCGGATTCACATGCCGAGATGGAGAGAAGTCGAGGATAGAGAACTACTGCGACGCGTACTGGGAATGCCGGGACGGGAGACCCCACATTCGACGATGCGACCCAGGACTCCAATTCCATCAGCGACTCAAGCAGTGTTCCCATCTGAAGGGTCCATCTCAATGCGTTCCCTATGAATGCCTCGGTGAGCGAAATTTAGCAGAGTACTGCTAAAGCTACTTATTAAATACTAAATAGTGGAAAATTGCCAGAATTAACCGACGGAACTCTGACATCATCGAAACAACAACTAAAAGAAAAGGACAGATGAAATACAAATTCTGAATTGTAATAAGGACTATGTCTAGCAACCTCTTAAAATATATATTTCAGGTAAAATCAGGAACTTCTTGAGTACGGGCTAAACTATTCCCGAAGTTGTCTGTTTTTCGAATATTACAATTAGAAGTCTCGTCTTCTTCAGAAAACTGACACTGGATTTGCATTTAACACTAAGGAGTTAGATGCAAACCCTTACCGCCATTGCGCCATTATTCCCCGTTAAACTGCGAGGCCATTTATAGACGACGTCTCCGAAGCTCTTTAGCTAACCCGTTCGATTCTTTCCTCGACGTCATTTGGTTTGGACGCTCCTCCGACGGACTGACGCCGATCATGCACTCGAACGATTTGGGGATTTTGCTTTTGGAAGACGTTTCTCTGCATCGCTTCAGAGCGAACCATTCAACAAGGGCGCAATAGGAAAGTGGGTCGAGAGAAAAAGGGGGCAAACTGGCGTTATCAGCGAAATCATCCACTTTCCTCATTCTTCGAGTGTTTTTTCTTGTATATCTTCAACCTTGTACCTAAACTCGATTCTTCAAAACACCTAAATGAGCCCCTGTTCTAAATATATATCATACGGTAATTCTGGGTATTTCTTTGACGTGCTTAAAAGGACCTCCTATTACAATTGTGATTGGCCAGTTTTTTCTCTGAAGATTCATATTACTATTTCAATGACAACATTGAAATTGCCGCACCAATCTGATTCTAAGGCTCAATGCATTGAGGCTTCGAATCAGAATGGAAACGTTTTGAATCGTTCAGTTTCGAACTAGATTCTATTGAAACTCCAAGTTCTATCACCAATAAATTTTCTCGTCACTGGAAAAAGTATGAAAAAAAAAGTGATATGATATGATACATTGATATGATAATTTCGCCTGTTTCCTATGCTCTAGCTTTTTTGCCCACTCAATACAGCATAACAGGATTGTAACTCATTCCTTTGCATATCGTCGCCACGCTTTCCTCTTAAATTGCCGTTTCAATCTGGAACTAAGTTTTACTTTTCGTTTTCTGGTAATCCGATGGTGTTTTGGGGTTTCATAGCTACGGTGTCTACGACGACAGCGACGACAACGACAACGGCGGATCCGGCATGTGACGCACCGTCTTGCTCAGGTGCACCCGACGGCATCACTCCTCATCCCTGTTGCTGCAACTACTATTACAACTGCCCCTTTCCGGATCCCCTGGTGAGAACTATCGTATCGGCTGAAGCCCTGACAACACAATACAAAGACGCGATCCCGTTCACACTTTGACATCCAATGCCAGGGTCTCAGTTTCATGAGCGGTAAGAGATTATTAGAGGAGGTCTAAGCTGTTGAAAGCCACGGCACTGCCCTACTGCTAAGAATGAGAGGAGGAAAAGAAGAGCAGGATTATGTATCCCAATTTTCCTTCATGCAAAATATTCCGCCTCCCTGGCCGTACGAGACGAGGAAGCATGTGCAGAGGCACATGCATATAGCATCCTATAGCCTCGAAGCGACCACTTTAAGAAACAGAAATCGGTGTAGTGCAATGTCTTAGCTTCTGCGTTTGTGAGACCCTAAGACTCAGAAAAACAAAATTATGAATAAATCAGTAAGTTTGAGGGGTGGGGGTGGGAGCAATAAAAAAGAAAGATGAAGGCAGAGGAAAAGAGAAAGTTTTACTGGCTCTTTTTAAGATGCATAGAGTGAATTTGGATGAGAAAAATAAGCATTCAAGTGGAGGTCGATAAAAAAGTTATCAATTTGAATTAGTTTTTTTTGTTATCGTAGTAAAAGCGTTAATCGATTAATTAGTTGATCAATCAGATCGAATCAGCAATCCTACTATTGGATCGTTGCCTCGGCTACGAAACGAACTACAAATCACCCACACAGTTTCAACTCTGTGAACTCAGAAACTCTTGACTTTCCATCAAATGAATTGGATTGTCAATAAAAAAAATGTTCTAAATAGAAAAGGATAGAAAAGGGAGGTGGTGGTTTCCGTGAAGTTGAACAAAATCATATAACTGCTATGAAAGAGAAAGAAATTATAACTGCTGTTACTCAAATAGAAATATGATCTTTTCGAAGATAAATGGAAATGAAATTCTCAACTTTTTCTATGGTCAACGTCAGATAACAATGGTCCCCAGAAATGTGACCAAAAGTCATATCATGTCAGTGGCGGATACAGGGGGGGGGGCGACGGCTCCCCGCTATGCATAGGTTAGCATTTTATTTATTTATTCAAAATAGAATCTGCATTAAATTTTATTGGAGCTAGTGAAATAGATTCTCAAGTTCTTACCCCAGACGAAAAATAACAAAAAGTGGGAAATGGCGTGGAATGGTAGTAGGTGGGGGGGTTGGGGGTAGGTAGGAACTTGGGAACCGCACCCCCCGATGAAAAATTTATGTATCCGCCCCTGTATCATGTCACTTCCTGGCATTCTCTAGAAGGACTTTCATCCTTTTCAAGATTGCAAAAACGTCTTCAATTCTCCTTCCAGCCCTGTCCAGACGGCACGTCGTTCAACGAAACAGCAGGATTCTGCAACATCCGCGGGAAATCGTGTCTAGATGGGGCGCCCTACTGCCATCTTTCGATCGTCAGCCCTGTCGATAATGAATGAAATTCGATCGATTGTTGCTTGAAATTGATTTTCGATACACTTTAAATCGTCTAAAATCACGAAAAAGCGAGACATCACATTTATCGAGTCGTTCGCCAATTCGAATTCAGCACGGGAAATTCATCTTGGAACGCGAGAGCCATTTCGGCTTGAGTCGGTCGAAGGCAACCTGTGCCGCAAGCAATAGTGAATCGCATGACGTGGTTTGATCTCTAAGGAAACATCCATCACTATGAAGAACAAAGACACGCACTCACAAGCTTGAGTCTGATGCGACACTGCACAATAATATTTACTAATCAGAATGCATACACTAATGTAACGATCATATGTCATTCGTCATTCTTTGCAGAATTAATGCTTTGGCACGACGCATTGGCAAGCTATAGCCCAAGTCTTTGAATTAAATGAAGAGCTCTCCTGAATTTGCCCTCTATTCTATGCTAAGCAAAGTCTAGGAACTAGCCCAAGTCCCTGAAAAAGAAGAGGAGAAAAGCGGTAGAGACAGAAGCGAGAGCGAAGGAAGTCCTTGTGTTCGACCGGAGGTCCAGCCCAGCTTCGATGGGATTGGGGAAGGCGAGAGGAGGGTGGAGGGCCACACGGGCGCCTGCGCTGGAAACAGGAAGTTCATGAGGTCGACGAGGTCGCCAGTGCGTTATGAAGGCATTGCTTAACTGGTACTTTTCTGAAAGAGTGTGGGAGTTTCGTACACAAGTTACTAGCAAGCCATTAATGTATTATGAATTGGTTGACTCCGAAAGGTACCCAAATCAATTAACGTGGTGATCAGAATGTTTATTTTTTGCTAAAGGGGAGACCTATATGAAGCACAATGAAGAATCTCCCTCGTGGGAAGCATAGGATATATCTCAGAGATCTAATATTGATAATAGTCATTCATGCATGCATCTTGGAGCAGGGTTGTTTCCACTTTCGTGGACAAGATGATGACCGATAAGAAAACTAGAATTTCCCCCGTTTAACACCGAAACGGAGCGCCAAAGTTTATTGGTAATATTAGGGCGTTGCGGTATACCGGTATTCTTATCATACCGCGGTATTCGGTTCTCCCGATCAGGGCCGGATTAAGGTTATGAGGAACCTAAGGCTTATGGGAGGGAAGGGCCTAAGTATGAATTACATATTACAAAAAAATATTTAGAATAGAAGGCCTAAGGCTATAGCCTTATTAGACCATGAGTTAATCCGGCCCTGCTCCTGATAATCATACTGAAACTTTCTGCATTTTTTTGGTATTATCGCCACGGTATAAAAACCGTGGAATACCGCCCATGTTCGCACCGTCACCACGCTATGGAAACCGCAAGCAACCGCCTCTAATCATATTACCGCCACGGCGCCATACCAAGATAAGTATCTCAAAATAAAATACTTTGTCAACTATTCAATATATTCCCCATCTGGATCCACGGTGACGCCCACCGCCCGGGGAGGACCGAAGCCTTCCNCTGATACTATATCAGGAAGACCAGTACTTAATAGTAATTGTAGGATGCAGGGAACAAAGGTTCCATCTAGTGAGGAATCTTGGTACTGCAACTGCAGGATGGTCAGCTAAAGTTTCATATGGATGGTGTGGTGTTAATTTTTCACAAACTTGATATCATGTACTTCACGTCAGATGGAGCGACGTCTAGTTGATGTAAAATACAGGTACACTTTGGGAATGTAAATATAGGAACGTAAATTTTACGCAAACATGATGTCATTTTCATGGCAATCGCAAGAAATTTACATTGTTTGCAAAAAAGTGATATATTGTTTACGTGAACATGCTGCTTGGGATCCTATGACAAGTCACCTCAAGCAGTGCATGGACATGGATATGGAAAAAGGGCGTGTGGGCACTTACGCCCTTTTTCCAGAGAACTCCTCAATTGAGTTTTTATTGGAAAGAGAAGGTAGGCCTTGGCCGCCAACTTCAGGTTACGCCAAGCCTTGGCGTAACCAGTAGTTCTCGTTGGCCCGTAATCTGTTGGTTAGGCCTAGGCCTAACGTTAGTGAGTTGGGGGGGTTGAAGAAAGGGAAAGCCATTGAAAATGGGTTTTCACATTACTACATAACCCTACTAGTATATACCGGGTGGCCCAAAAAAAACGCGTCGTGTTTGGCGCTCTATAAAACCCGCTGTGGATGATCTAGGTTCGTAATGTTTTCGTAACACGTTAGAAACATCACGAAATTTGTTTTCTGAAAGTTTCATTTACCTAGGTTGTCTGAATAAAAAAAATCAACAGTCGTCCAAAGTGGAGTA